CCTCCCTGGTGAGGGTCTGCCCCAGTGCAACTGCGACAGCCTCACGGTCAGCTCTAGACCTCGTGCAGGCGGACGAACACTCTCACCCTATTTGACCTCCGTTCTATCTATCCAAGTGTGTTTATATTTAAAACTGTCCCCTTTCACGAAACTAGGCCTTTAAGGTTACCGAGTGAGATCTATTGCAGTGCGCGTGCCCTAGATTCCACGATACGAGATGCCGAGCTTCCTGTGGCTACTTTCTGTAAGGGCAAGATTGTGTTTTCATAGGAAATAGTCTTCTCTATTTTCAATAATTCCCATGTTGGACGGATACACCAGGTGTTTAACCAATATTCTAGTAGCCCCCACTCACCATTTCCCTATAACCGCCATGGAATATACAAGCGCATGTGTGCACCAATTGCCGTGCACCCAAGGGTAGAGAATTCAAGGGAGCAATGAGAAGTATACGTGTAGGATGTAAATATGAGATATTTACATTGTTTATTTTTTAACTTTCACTGCTCCTTAGACTATGGCTGCTGTTGGTGTAAGCAGCCGCCCTTTGCGTACTGTCCCGCATACGCTTAAGGAGGTGCGCATTCAACAAAGGGTGCAGTTTTAGTCATTGCGTAGTTAGTGAACTTCAAGAAAACTTCGTAACTGAGGGCAAGCTAAGCACTCAGCATCGGTACTTGTCTGCCTGTAGCTGCACAATCAACGAGCCTATGATGGCACTGTGGGGGCATAGAGACTGAACACATCTCAGGTGGTGAGAGATTGAAACCTTCACACGAGCAAGTCGTATGTTCTGGGAATATTCATTTTTAGCTCCAATCTTAGCCTGGGCACCACTGCAGCACCTTCATTCAGTGCAGCTAGTGCGTGTCAGCAGTTGCCTGTAAGTGCAAACTTGCTTATATACACTTAGGAAGTAAATGTGACATATTGACCATGTGTATTTCTTATTATTGTAACTGCGCTTTAGACTAAAACTGGTGTAGGTGATGGATGGCGTCTCTTGCATACTTATTTATCCTTCTCCTGTTGACAGCGGTCCAAAGAATGTTGCAGCTCAGTTCCTTCCAACATTTAAGAAAAATAATTAAACACAACTTCCAGCCTACAAGACAGAGTAGTTTTCGTGTGCAGTATTTGTCCATTTCTAGCTTCTCAAACACGATGCCTTCGATGGCAGCGGACCATAAAGCACTTCAGGTGCATGAGCCCTGAACGTCCACACGAGAGCAAGCCGTATGTTCCGTGGGGAACTTTTCGTTGGCGATGTGCAGCATGGCATCCTCATTCAGTGCAAAGAGGGCGCGTCAAGAACTTCCGTAGTCCAAATTTGGGCAAGCGAAATCGGCAGCAGAAAGGGTTGCCAAGCTAAACCCGGTCTCAAATTAAAGAATGTTTCCTATTAGGCCCTATTACCCCGAATAAGTAGGCGTAAGAATTCATGTACACCTCTGGATGAATGAAAGTATAATATTGGCAACTCTGGGCGACTCCGTCAGAATCGCGCTGCCTGCCTGCAGCGTGCACGCAGGTAGCAAGCTCGCAGGCAAGCAGAAATCCTCAGCAATTTTCTATATGGCATTAAATCATCAATGCAACTGGTTTTGCTTTTTCTTGGGGCTACATTGCCGCAGCTGCTCGGCAATGTCCGACACAACGCGCACCCGACCTGATGTGCTCAGAATACCACACAACTTGGTGCGCAGTGACAGGGTCACAAAGGGTGGTTTGCTCACCCAATGATTATGCCTTTAGCTCTGTACTCCTCCAAGTTCGCATTATCGGTCGGGCGTTGCTGGCTCTATTTGATATCAGTTGCGTATCTCTGAAGCTACGACGAGGAGATGCAATCTTCCAGCCAACCGGTCGAACGGTTAATATCCATCTCTGAATTACTCTGGCATAGTGAGAGCCCAAATGCTTGCCAATTCAGTTGTCTTATGTTCCGACGAATAGCAGGAGAGGGCACAGCGGAAGGCAGATTTCTCAGACGTAGTAAATACCAACGAGCGTCCAGCACGCCGGTCACCGGTTGGGCTCCCAATGCATCGAACTGACTCCAGCAAACCCCAGAAATTCTACCTATCGACATCCTTGTTCCACGTTACGAGACAAAGACATACATCAATTGCCATTCGTCGGCTTCCTGCCCTTCTAAGGTAAACCATGATGTTAGGTCTTCCCCCGCTTCTGCTGCCTGTTGCGCTGCCTGTGCTAGCGCTCCTGCTTGTCTTCAGCCTCGACGGTTTCGCTCCATAATATAGCTCTTCCTTGGGTTTGGCTTCGACCTTTCGGAATGACAGCAGCTATCTGCTTCGTGCCCATATTGGCGAGAGCGCAAGCCTGCTATAAACGAGGCGGGCGTCTGGTATTTCCAGGAGGGGTTTATTGTTGAATATTTAGGGTTTAGGGTTTAATAATTCGGGTTTAGCTTCTTGGATTTGGGGTCCGCTGATGAAGGGCATGTCAGTAACCCGTTTTGAAATTCGGCGTTCAAAAGTTCGAACCGCTCTTAGAGTTGCAGGTTTATAGATTAGACTACAAGGTTCATTTGCGCTTAGCCTAGCAGCTCCTGAGGGTTTAGAAATTCAATTGCACACTCCACCTAAACGCAAGTAGACCCGTGTTGGTGTGTGTGGATGCATATAAAATTGTTAGCAGCCCTTCGGCAACAGGCGTATAAGCCATTGTCTATTTATGGCTGGTAAAGCGAGAGCACACAGCGCTAAATATTAGTTTGCAAATACTGCAAAGGCCAAAACAGTGGCGCGCGAAGACGAAGAAAAGCGGAACTCGTACACCTTGGGGAATGGCGAAACAAAGCCGTAGCCCTATTGAGAGTGACAACTGCTAAGTCGTTCTGGGCTTACTTAATTCAGACCCCTCTGCAGCTCAAGTGAGAGCCAGCAAACAACTAACTAAACGTAGACGTTCCAGCGAAATGTGTCGATAGGAAAAATGGTTTAGTAAGCGGATTAGCACTTCTAATAATACAAACTAGTAAGTTTTAAACACACAAAATCAAAGTCGATCAGTTTGGGGTGTGAGGGATTCGGGACGTTAGAGATGCTGCAACAATGGCGGGTGATATCTACTACACAGGTGCGACGTCTGCTACATTGCCTGCCCGATGCCCTCTCAGTACGTACTTGCTGGGTCAAGGAGGAAGAAACCAAAGCCGAGCTACCGCTGACGCCTTTACAGACACTTTCGATACGGATGCTATACTTGACGACTTGTGCCTCCCGCTATTGAATCTAGAGTAGAATTTAGTACAAAACAGTCAACGTACTGTGATACTCATAAGAAAACTAACTTTCCGGTTTAGCCGATGGAGAGGCCTCTTACATGTGTCGGCCAGCGACATCTAGTTCCACTTTGCCTGATACAGCATATTGAATCGCTGAAGTCAGCACGGCACTTGCATACCGATCAGCCTGGATGCTTCGTCATTACAATTGAGCTCGTGTACAATTATGGAGAATGAGGAAGCATTCCGGGGAGTTCAGATATGTACCAGGAGTGGTAAAACACCTCTCACGGATGCAAACACACAAAGTGGAGTTGCACGTCCGTTTTCCAAATTACAATGCTTCGCGAGTGCTATATACAGCATAGGTCTTTCTCCCGCTATGCCTTGAGAGCAATCGTATGTCTTGTTGGAAATGCAGGGCCTGGGATTTTTGAAGCTACTGTCTCCCTCCCTATGGTACATGTCAAGACAGTAGTCTGGCACTTACTGGCTGTAGCGACAAAGACAAATGCACAATAGTTGATAAAGGAACGCCGTTGGATAATGGTGACTAAGTTCTGCCAAGTCAAAATTCTAGCTCATGTGTATGTGTGTTTGTCGCTACAAGCACTACGCGCCAGCATCTGTTGATAGGCGGACGCCGGCAAATAATGGTGACTACCTGTTTCCCAGCCCAAATTCTAGCTTGCAACCATATAAGAGCACAAAACGCCTGGAGGAACGGTAGCGCGTATATTGCCTATCAGCATTGAAAGCCCAAACATACTGTGTGCGCCGCAATGCACGTCTGCCAGTTGTTCTCTGCAACAGTGAGTTGGCTGCTATCGAACATAGTGAGCTGCCTAACAGGAGCGCGTTTGACAGGAAACACTACAGAAAAATTTCTACGTACATTCTGCATTGCACAGGCCATCTGCAACGGAATACATATACTTTTACATGCTACATCAATTCGAGGTGGATATGCCCTAAAATCTGAGGCAATGGCTATTCAAATTAGCACGTGCCGCAAACTGCATAGCAGTAGCAATGCAATTGCAATAGTGCGCAGCAAAATATTCAGTTGTTTTGCATTCTATGGCACTCATACCGTGTCAGCTGTTGACGATATGGTGGCAACGGAGAACAACACGAAGCGTCTGAAAGCTTGCAAAATGTTTTAGTGTGCAGCACTACAGGCGTGTGTTTAGTAATAAATATAAAATATTTAGATGGTTTGGAGACCGTAAATAACAGCCGCTTGCGCTCTCCACTCACAAACTTGACAACCACAAGGGAGAAATATATTTGCTTTGTTACATCCCGCGCATACTTAAGCTGCCGCTTTGTATGCAGTTTCTTTTGCAACAAAATCGCACCGTCTTATCAATGATAGTTGGACAAATGTGCCCCACATGTGTGTACATGTTCCGGGCTGGAAAGAATCTTTGCACCATTCAACATATGCAGTTGGTGGGTTCTGTGCTGTAAGCAAGACTTTATAAAAGTGAGCTTATTCCAAGCCCATACTCCCCATGTCACAGTTAACTACCGAACGGAGAAACACTCCTTTCTTCCACCACACACGCATAAACGCTATTGAGGGGAAATTAAAGAGCGATTAGTTGTTGCGCATGAATGTAACATTCTTGCCGGGCAGCTGGAAGGTCTTACAGGCAACTAGCTTGTACGCAACTAGGCCTGATCTAAGAGCTGCCTACAAGCCAGTTGCTTACACGACAAGCCCCTAAACCCTACATCCTAAACCCTAAAATCTTTTGTGCACCGCTACCGTAATAGAGCTTGTACAAACCTTGTGGGTGTGACCTGGAGACATATTTTCCCACAAGCGTCCTGGGGGATCGTGGGCCTCGCGAAACCCACCTCCGACGCAATCAAGCACTTGCAGTTCCTCCCACTTGTGGGAGTCGATAGACATTGTGGGAACAGGTTTCGACAGTAGCCGGTAGAAACGGCTGAACAAGGGACACAGAAAGACAGCAAGATCATGTAAATGCCCCATCAATTTTGGCTCCTGAAAAGCGCCAAAATCCCCCGTAGATAATGGCGATTCATCATATTAGCATAGCGGCTGTATTCAACTGGTGTGCGTGTAACTCTAGCACGCAAATATCCGACAATTGCGTACTTGCTGTGCATCATATTGACTTGGAAAAGTTGCCTTTTGCCAGCAGCTGCTCTACAAACAATTCACTGGTTGGACAGGTCGCCATACTGCCGCCCTATGTTCACTAGACTACCAAGGCATATCTTAACAATCTGAAGACCCCTCTAGATAAATGCAAAAGACGTCTTTGCGGATTCTGAACATTTACCTGCCGCAACTCTAGTCAGCCCCCCGTTACCTACTATCTGGTGCGAAGGGCTGCAAGGTTTCTGAAGCGACTTTTGCTTCATCCTGCCACGCGTATAGGCGCAGCATCACGTATGCAGAAACGAGTTAGGGCCAAAGATATTCTGCTGGAGAAGCACTGTGGCAACTGTACACTAGCTATCATGGACTGTGGCAACTGTACACTAGCGATCATTGTGTAGAGAGACGTTCACATTACCATGGCAAGTGAATCCACAACATTGCGCACTCCTCTAATCTTCACTTTAGGCATGATATAGAGAGAACGCCAAGTTATATGTGCGCCACACAGCCAACGCTCTCCACCTACACTGTTATTCCTTTGTGGACAAAAAACATTTGACGTACCGCCTAGATATATGACCGCAGTCACGGTGCATTCACAGCTGCGTCGAATGGGATGTTGGCACTGCATGGATTCTCCTGGCAGTGGAGTGTAGCCAACATGGCTTTTACAACCCAACCTGCAGAATGTCCCTGGTGCGTGCAGCTAGATGCCAGCTTGTCGTGCAGCATCTTTGCAAGTGCAGCACCCGAGTCGCAATCGTTAGTCTACAAGCATAGTACAGCTCGAGGAATCAAGCGTATCATATGTAATCCACTTATGCCACAATGGGTGGGTGAGACGCCATGGAACCGATTGTCTAGAGAACACTAGTGTCCACCAGTACCAGCCAAGCCAGACTCGGCAAAGCATTATCAGCCCATGCAGACAAAATATTGACCTTAACTATGAATATATTATTCATGGGCTTTGAAATATTGTTGCTACTGTACTCCATGCCTTACATATCCGCTCACTGCGGATTCGATGGTGGCCCTGGAAATCAGAAGCCCTATTACATAGACTAACAGTTGTGCTCAACACCGAGGTGTGCTACGCTACCACTGTGTATGCTTCCCACAAATTCATAATGAATGCCTCCATCAACCAGCTCTTTAGTGCGGTTTCCACATACTGTCTGTGTAGGGAGCTCCTCACTCTGCTGTAGTGTGAGACTTTAATTCCCATT